GTAGTAGTAGTAGTAGTAGTAGTAGTAGTAGTAGTAGTAGTAGTAGTAGTAGTAGTAGTAGTAGTATTAGGAGTAGTAGTAGTAGTAGTAGTAGTAGTAGTAGTAGTAGTAGTAGTAGTAGTAGTAGTAGTAGTAGTAGTAGTAGTAGTAGTAGTAGTAGTAGTAGTAGTAGTAGTAGTAGTAGTAGTAGTAGTAGTAGTAGTAGTAGTAGTAGTAGTAGTAGTAGTAGTAGTAGTAGTAGTAGTAGTAGTAGTAGTAGTAGTAGTAGTAGTAGTAGTAGTAGTAGTAGTTTTCGTAGTAGGAGTAGCAGTAGTAGTAGGAAGAGGAGGAGGAGGAGGAGGAGGAGGACGATGAGGAGGATGAGGAGGAGAAACAGCACCAGCAGCTGAGGAGGACTTGAGGAGGCGAAGCAGGTTTGAGCAGTCAGAGAGGTAGCAGGAAGAGGATGATGGAGTGCGACGAGCCGGATGAGGACGAGGAGGATAAGCAAGCTTCTGGCAAGAGGTGGATGGAGAGAAAGGGAATGGACGAAGTAGTCGGAGGAGGACCAGTTTAAATTCAAGACTGTTCCACGATATTGTGAATGTCAGAACATCGTTTTTGGAACTGCAACACCGCGAATCTACGTGACCACTGCGCCCTGACATTCCGTCATCCTGTCTCAACACCATTTCTGGGATGTTCGCCATGAGATGAAAAGCCTTGAAGCTCTTGCAAACGCTTATGACAAGTGTGCGCGGCGCTCAAGCGAGAGCCGCATTTTGAAAACGGGCCGCCCTCCATTCGTGAAGCTCTTTCACATTTGCAAGACGAGTGTGCGCGGCACTAAGGCGAGAGCCACTTTTTGAAAACGGACCGCCCTCCAGATGTGAAGCTTCTGCGAGCCCTTAAAGACGAGTGTGCGCGGCGCTATGGCGAGAGCTACATTTTGAAAACGGACCGCCGTGCATCTGTCAACTTCTTGCAACTTCCAAGCATCAGGATCATAAGTGGTGAGGACGTCTCAGGCGAAATGCCGGGCCCGCCCTTTTGACCGGCCCTGGGGCGCGACAGGGGGAGGTTATTAAAAAGGAGGAGGGTTTTGGTCCAAGAGGTGACTGAGGAGGAGGACGAGGAGGAGGAGGAGGACCAGGAGGAGGAGGACGAGGAGGAGGAGGAGGAGGACGAGGAGGAGGAGGAGTGCCCAGCAGTAGGGGGAGGGGAGCGAAGGAGGAAGAGGAGGAGGAGGAGGAGGAGGAGGAGGAGGAGGAGGAGGAGGACGAGGAGACGGAGGAGTAGTCGGAGCCAGAGGAGGAGCAGTGCCCGACGCTCGCACACCGTGGAAGTCCCTGCGACGCGCACTGGCTCCTGGGCACGAGGTGCAGAGAGCGGGCAGCCACAGCTCGGATAGGGGGGGGCTCCCCTGCGGTAGGTCCGCGTCGTGTCGACCGGCGGCGACTCCGCCGCTAGCGTTCAACATTAGCCAGCCACGCGCAGAGGGAGGTGGGGGGAGGGGGGGGGGCTTCTTAGAAGCACCCTTGCTTCTTAGAAAGGCGCGGGCCTTACCTATAGATGTAAGGCCGGCGCCTTCTAAGAAGCAGCCCCTTCTAAGAAGCCCCCCCCCTCCCCCCACCCCCTTGTGCGCGCCGTCTCCGAGCGCGTTCCACTACTCGCAAAGTGCCTACTCTCAAACGTCCGAAAAAAGCACGTGCGTGCCCCGTTTTCATGGGTCGTAGCTCCCCCGCGGTGGATCCAGGCCATCTGCGAGTATTTGCTGTGCGAGTAGTGGAACGCGCTTGTCTAGTTGGACGCCGCTGGCGATCCAGAATCGGTCGATGCTGAACATCCTGACTTTTCGGAAACGGCTGAATGTTGAAGATTGAACGATCCCCACGGTGTCAGGAACCAGCGCCATGACCGACTCGACACGAACGTGCTGTAGGCCTCGGCCCACTTGCATCGGGGTCCATTTCGGCCCGCTCGATTTCCGATTCGATGCCGATCCGAGCTCGGTCCCCAGGCGGTCCGATGCCAGCACGGCGCGGTCGTGCCGTTATGATTCTTTCAATCCGCGGCCACAGAGGTCCCGATCCCTTCCCTGGGGTTGTGGTTTTCTCCTGGATCCAGTTCTGATGGTCCCCGGGCCCAATGAGGTGCCCGGGAGGCCGAAAGCCAAGGAGAAGCCCGGACCGAACAAGCCGCATCTTCGGATCTCCGAGTCCGTGCGCGGCCGATGCGGGGTCCCGACCCTGGGCCGGCGCAGCCCGATTCCACGTGCGCGTGCCGAGGTTCGATCCGAGCCTCCCCGAGCCGGTGCCGGCCGGCCCTCCCAGCAGGCGCACCCAGCCCTCGCCGTGGAGGCCGCCAGGGCGCGGGTCAGCGGGAAACAAGCATCAAGCAGCGGCGAAGCGTCCCAGCTTGCCCAGAGGCAGACCACCGGATGCTCTCGGACCTTTTTTGTGGCTTGCGCGACATGCTCTCAGAATAGTTCTGGCCGAGGCCGTCCTTGTTCAAGACGCACATCGGCTTCATGTTCTGAGGACGTCGATCTTGTTCTTAGAACATCCGTCTACTGTGAGAGCATGTCCTGTAGAGCTGGGACGGTCGGTCCCTGCTCAAAACAATAGCATGAACGTAAACTCTCGGAGGTCCGCGCGGAGGTTTTAGGTTGGCGCTGGACCCTCCTCCTTGGCGCCGGGAGGCGCCGGTCCGAGGCAGATATCGGGGCTCCAGAGACGGGGGGTCAATGCAAGCGGGGGTCAGTCAGGGCGCTGGATTTTGCAAGATCCTGCAGGGCCACGGTCGCATTGGCCCGGGCTTGGGTGCAGGATCCTGTAGGATTTTGCTGGGTCCTGCAAAGCTGGGTCAGTGGATTCCCGAAATATCCGCGCGGACCTCGGACAGTTTCTGCTCATGCCACTGTTTTCAGAAGGCGAAAACCCACCCCCGCCCCCAGTCCCGACGCGCCCATCCCCGAGCCGGCGATTCCAGGGGTCGGGACTGGGAGTGGGGGTGGGTTTTCTCCACTCCTGGACCCCGAAAACCCACCCCCACCCCCAGTCCCGACTCCTTGAATCGCGGGTTCGGGGATGGAGTCGGGACTGGGGGTGGGGGTGGGTTTTCGCCTTCTCATGTTTGTTCCCCCAGGTCAACCTGGGGGCCATGCTCTCCCGTGCTGGCCGCCACCTCGAGGCGCAGATGGCGGTGAAGGACGCGCAGCGCTGCCTGAGCGGCGTGCTTGCCTGGGCCGAGGACGGCGGCTCGGTGCTGAACGGGGGCCTCGCCGCCTCCCCCATCCACCCCTCCTCCTTCCCTTACTCCCACTCCTCCACCCCCTCCTCCTCCTCCTCCTCCTCCTCCTCCTCCTCCTCCTCCTCCTCTCCTCCCAAGCTCCTTCCCTTCCTCCCTCTCCTCCTCCCTCTTCTCCTCCTTTTCCTCCTCCTCCTCCTCCTCCTCCTTCTTCCCCTCCTTCTCCTGCTCCTCCTCCTCCTCCTCCTCCTCCTCCTCCTCCTCCTCTTCTGGTGGCCACGCACCAAGGGGGGGGGGCCTTGGCCGCTCCCCCTGGCCGTCGGCGGTTTTTGTTGGCCGTGCTCGCGGCGGCCGTTCCCCCCTCGTGCCATGGGGGCCGTGCGCCAGGCAGTGCCGTGGCCCCACCTCTCGTGCGGGCAGTGCTGACAGTACCAGTGATGAGAGCACCTCCGCTGGCAGCCCTGCGCCCCCCGGAACAGACAATACTCGGGGCGTTGAGAACTCTCATCCAGCCACATTCTCTGGCGGTCGACACGTGAACAACTCGGCTCTCTCCAGCAGACATCGCGACTCCAGGGGCAGTCGATCCAGGTCGAGAATGTTTCCCCACCTGCAAAATGCTCACACTGACAACTATCTTCGGGACAACTATCTTGGATCGGGCGCGATTGCAAACAATCCAGGATCGAGGGGTGGCATAATCTGTTTTGAACGAAGAGCTGACGGGGTTGATTGATGGGTTTTATGCGGAATTGGCGGAGGTGGGACTGATTTCGAAGGAGAGCGAGGAACGGGCGGCGAACCCGAGGGACAGAGACGGTTCCTCTCGGCATGCCCGGCGTCGTGCTGAATTTGGCGATGTGGGAAATCCCTCCCGTCTGGTGGTCCTGGGTTTTGAGATAGCCTTGATGGAGGTGACGTTGCACCAAGCTGTGGGCCCCATCCTCGTGAAGTGCTCCCCTGCTGCAGAGATCCCTCGCATCCAGGTCGATGCTTCGAATGTTCGACTTCCCCAGCATTTTACAGTTTCTACTTTTCAATCGGCAGCAAATGCAGAAGGACCGCTCCTGTCCACGACCCTTGAGAGTGGACCAGACCTTGAACCCCGTGTCCGACGCGACTTCCCACACACTTCCAGGAAGCTTTTCTACGACCCACGGAATATGAGGCAGGCTGGTGCGAATATGTTTGGGCTTGATAGCGTCGGTTCGACTGGGCTCGGGGGGGCGATGTATGTCCTCCATAACGGCCCCATCCCGGTACATGCAGTTCTTGAGCTTTCGATTGTAGATGACGGCCCAACAGCAGGTAGTGCTCACTGCCTCATTGGTGCTGAGGGCCTTGAGGAGGTAGGAGGAGCGCAGCATTCACTTTGCTTGCAGGTACGGTTCGGTGAGAGTCGTCCCCTTAGGTGGGTACGACAACAGCACGAGTGAGACGGGGCTCGATGGGAGTAGCACAGGGCCCTCAGCACCTGACAGCTCAGCTGGGCCCTGGTCTTCAGATTGCTGCATCAATATTAATTCAGGCAACGCGGCGTTGCAGCGTTCTCCTCCCCTGGCTCGGGTTGTTGGTGGAGTTTATCGTATCTCCCAGCCGCTCACTCTCTGCGCGTGGAACACCCGCGCTCTTTTTGCTTCTATCTCGTCTCCATCTCTCAGGGCAAGCTCGCGTTTTCGACGAGTGAATGGTTCCAGGTTGCTTGTTTTCAGGGAGCTCAAGGGTCCAGAGCTGATATGGCGATCCTTTATGGTGAGCTCCGCGCGGGTACTCCCCGCGACAGTTTCATGGCCGATCGAGCAACGGGAAGGGGTTCTCGTTTTAATGTCCGCTCAGCTCTCCGAACAGCTCAGCGAAGTTGTCACTGTGATTGTTGAGGACAGGGCTGCTGCGACGAAGCGTCCGCGCCCTGCTTCAGGCCTCGTCGCTTCGGAGGTGTATGTGCCAAGCGCGCGTGGCGCAGTTGGCATGTCTGAGCGTTGCCTTCGTAGGATCGTGGCGCCTCGCCCTCCCGCGAGTCACTGCATGACCTTCGATGCCGGTGCCTGGCGCCTGGAACCTCCCTCGCGTGGAGGCTGCGGGTGTCCTGGCCGATTGTCGATTCGGGCTCGGGGGGGCAGGCTTCAGTGCGACGCTTGCCACGAAGCGCGTGGTTCGCGATGCGAGCTGCGCCTGCCTGGCCCGACTCGCTCGCAGGGGCACGTCCGCGGGGCCATCGGGGGCCCCTCCTGGGCTGGGCAGAATCTGCGCGATGTGTCCTGTCGGCCTCATTGTTGATGCCATCGGTTCCCTCGCTCCTCGTGGGCCTCGTCGGACCGCGCCCCAGCGGCGGACCCGCCGATGCCTCGCCGAAGCCGTGCGATCCGCCGCCAGCCCCCGGCGGATCAGTGAACGGCCCACCTGTCGGAAGACGGTCGCGGAGCAGCTGCGTTAATGGGTGCTTCCAGCGGACCATCTGAGAAGTTGAGGCGGTTGAAGGCGCTGCTTGGGGCTGGCGGCGGAGTTCAGGGCGTCGCTTCGGCGTGGACGAGCCTCGAAAAATGCCGAGGGACTCCGCGTCGCTTTCGCGGCGTGTCGAGGTCGCGCGGGGGGCAGCAGTGGCATCGCATTCTCCGCTGCTACTCTGCTTTCTTTGCCCCTTTCGATGTCGACCGCGGGCGCTGCGGCGATCCCGGCGGGCCCCGCGCTCTGGTCGTTCCTTTGCAGATCCAACGGTTTGAGTCGGAGCTAGAGGGTGGGGGCAATTATTGGTGGGCGGGAGGTCTTGGCGAGGCGGGCGAAACGGCTCGCGGATCTGAGGAGAGGAGGGGCTCTGATGAGGCGGCGCGGCGAGCTTCGGGGAGTCGTGGAAGTGGGGGGGATTGCCGCGCGCCGACCCCGATCTAGCGGCGCAGGCACTGGCATCCCGCTGGCAGCAGGCCTTTGTCCATGCGGGTTTTGATGGTCCGCCCTGCTCGTCTATCCTGCGGGACGGGAAAATGACCACAGCCACTGCTTCTTGTTTGCGCCGCCTTCAGCCGGCCGAAAAAGAAGCAGTGATTGTGGTCACTTCCCTGGTGCCAAGCTCAACGAAAATGACCACAACCACTGCTCTGTTTCTGCGGGCCGGAAGGCGGCAACAAAAGAAAAGTAGTCGCTGTGGTTGCTTTCGCGCCCCGTATATCCCTGGGCGCGCGCAGGCGGCCGACCTCCGTCTGAACCGCGGTGGCGCCCGGGCCAGGAGGCGTTCGATGGAGATCCGATGCCGGAGGTGCTCGGCCCGGGGCCCACGGCGCCCCGAGCGTCTGCCGGGGGCCGTTCCTCGGGCCTCGGAGGTTTTGCTCTCGGTGTGTGAGGAGAAGTTCGCCCTGCCTCCTCCTCCTCCTCCTCCTCCTCCTCCTCCTCCTCCTCCTCTCCTTCCTGGGGATCGGTTAAACGATACCGAACAGTGCTCGCGTCCCCGAGGGCAACGATCCCTCTCAATCAGGGAAGGTGCGTGGATTTGCCCTGACGGCAGAGTCGGCCGCGCGGCCTCTCGTTCCGAAGGCGCGCGGCCCTGGCAACAGGGGGGGCAGCCGCGCCGGGAGCTCCCGGCCCCGCTCGCCCCCGCTTCCTCCCCGACGCGGCTGCGGAGATCCTCTCGGGCCCCTTCTGCGTCGGTCTGAGTCGGGCGGCGCCGTGCTCCGCGGTGGGGGGGGCGCAGGCGGGGGGGTCCCGGGCAGGGGCGCCCTGGGCGACCTGGTGAAGGCGGAAGGGTTGGGGGGCCCTGCGGCGCGTTGGAGGGGGCGGGGGGGGCGCGGCCGAGAGGGCATCCTGTTCGCCGAGTTTCGCGCGGCCTTCCTTTCGATTTTCTCGGCGTGGGTTCTTAGAGAGTCGGGCGCTATAAGCCACGGGTGCTCCGATGGCCGCTATAAGGTCTTGCTCGTCGATGCGTCGGGGCAACGCCGCGGCCGTTAATTTGCGGGCGCCGGGGCGGGGGGCAGGTCCCTTGTCTAAGGGGGGTGGAAGACAGGGCGCCCCCGCGTCGATAGCGAGCTTTGCATTTGCGCTGGGCCTGGTCACGCGGTGGATCAAATATCCATAGTCCTGCGTCTCGATCTCGAGCTTGTCTACGCTGATGACTGCTGATTCGGCCTCCAGGACATTACCGTGGACCTCGTGCCTTCTTCGCTTCTGTTGGACTCGCTCGCAGCGGCCATCGGGCCAAGTCGGAATATAGGCTAATCTTATGTATAGGTATGTGGGGCTCTTATGGGGGATAGTATTGCCGATCACATGAAAGCCAAGGGCAGTGGGTTCCAGGAGACCAAGGTCCGGACGCGTGCTCTGTGCCGAGAGTTCTGGGTGGGCCACAGAGGTGCCGTCAAGTTCTGGCAGAGGGTTCGTCTCCTGCGCCCCCCTCGCCATCGGCCCCCCGACGGCGATCCGCTGTTGTCACCCGAATTGCATCGCGGTGCTTCAGTATCGTATGCAGCTTGTCAGGGTGGCCCCAAGTGTAGCTCGGCAGCGCAAGGAAGCACTTCAGATCCCTGCAGCCGGTCCTGGGCTTGCTCTCCACTGCTGTATGCCCACGCAGATGCGCTGGGGTGCCTCTGGAGCTCGTGGATCTCATGCTCATGGATGAAGCCACCCCGTGCCAATGTCCCCATGTGTGCCCGCCCTGCGGCCGCTGCTGCGTCGCCGGTGCTGATGCGTGCTCCCCCCCTCTGCGCGTCCACCCTGGTGCTGCTCCGCCCTGCAGGTGCCGCTGCTGCTGCTGGTGTGCCGGGTGGGCTCTTCGCCTGGCGCTGGGCCGTGGGCGGGCCTCGCGGGGCGGTGATTTCTGCGTTCCTCAATGCTGTGCGCCAGGGATGCACCGACCGCTTCCCCAGAGTACCCTGCCGCCCCGCCTGCCGCCCCAGCCTGTTCCTCTCTGCGACCTCTCTCCTCTCGCCTCCACTTGGGCGTGTGCCCGCCTGGCGGCACGTTCTGACAGGGACGACAGATTATGGAGGGCGTTGTGCGCGGTGCACTGGGAAAAAGGCTCCTCCTGTTCCTCGTCCGCATCCTCCTCTTCTTCCTCATGCTCTTCCCCGTCCTCCTCCATCTCTTCTTCTTCTTTCTCCTCTTCTCCTCCGCCTCCTCCTCCTCTCCTCCTCCGCCTCCTCGTCCTCCTCCTCTCCCGCGGAATGCATGTCGGATGGCAACAGAAACTGCCACGGCCGCCTTTCTTGAGGTGCGTCTATGGGCCCAAGGCCTACGGTGTCCCCAGCAGTTCCCGAAGGGCCCAGATTCAGGGAAAGAAAAACCACCCCGAGCGACACACAGTCAACCCGCAGAGGAAGGATCAGCGACTTCCCAAGGGTATCCTTGCATCCTTGCCTCTTCGGTCATCTTCGGCCCATCCTCAACCACTTTCGAAGGCCAGCCCCGCTCGAAGAGCCTCGACATGGGCGTCCAAGGCCCTTGCATCCTTACCGCGCATTCGTACTGTACGGGTTGACTGTATCTGGCGTTTCCTAAACGGCCTTAGCTGTTTGCTCGTCAACCTTGTCTTGTTCGATCGTTTTCTTGGTTACGTTTACGCAATGGTTTTGTTCGACGGGGTGCTTATGAGGGTGTGTTTTCCTGTTCGCTACAGATTGCCTCCAAAACCGTTTTTCACGAGGCGATGAATAGCGCGGCTGGCGCTATCGCCTCGCCCCAGGCCCATGGCAGCCACGCGGGTCGGTGCGGAGTGAGAGGTCCCGCACAGAGATCGTAGCGAGGGCCCCGCCGGCTGTGACGTTTCACGGCGTGCGCTCGCGTGCGCGTGCGCGCGTTTGTGTGTGTGGTTTCCCCCCATCTTTGTTCGCCAGATAATTCGCTACTTAGTGCCCATATCTAGCTTTTCGCTGGAGCGGGGTTCGCCGCCTCGCCGCTGACGGAAAACGTGTGTAAGTGTGTAAGTGTGTGTATGTATGTGTGTGTGCGGGGGGTACAGTGTAAGTGCACGTGCAAGAGCAAGTGCAAGTGTGAGTGTCGGTGTAAGTGTGTGTGTGTGTGTAAGTGTGTGTGTGTGCGATAGAGAGAGAGAGTGTTTTGCGACGTGGGGTGTCGGGGGAAAGTACTGTCAAGTCTTCAAAGTTGAGATTGACAGGAAATAGTGGTATTGGTGAGACGAGGAGGAGGATGAAGAGGAGGAGAAGGATGAAGAGGAGGAGGAGGAGGGGGAGGAGGAGGAGGAGGCGGGGGTTTTTGCCCACGATAATGGGGGTGCGTGCGGGGAGTTGAAGCATGAGGGTTATGGATGGATTCAGTAGGCACGGGGAGTTGTGATAGCAGTAGTCGTTGCATCAGTTGGGGCGGAGGAGGCGAAGGAAGAGGAGGAGGAGGAGCTTTGGGGAGGAGGAGGAGGAGGAGGAGGAGGAGGAGATGGAACAGTTCTGCTCTCACACACCCATCCTCGAAGCCCTCTCTATGCACGCCCTCCTCCTTCCACTCGCAGATCCGACGTGACGAAAAATATATAACGTCGCGGGGAAACGCAGCCAGAGCCCTGGACCCCACCTTTCTGAGGCATCTCTCCAGCCAGATCGATCCGTGAGGAAGGATCCCAGGCCCCGAAACCGGGCGAAGAACGCCCCGAGTGAGAAAATGTGTGCCGCGCGGATCTCCCCATCCTTCTCGAAGCCGCCGCAAAGGAGAGGTGTCCTGAGGGAGGTTGGTCCCAGACCCCGGGGCTTTTCCCCAGGACCATCTCTTCACCATGGGTCGTACGGGGCCTGAAAATCGGCGTCACCTCAACATACTAATACTATGCGTGCGTCGAACCCCCAGGGGCAACGCGCGCACCGAGAAATCTTATAGTATATACGTCGTGGCGGGCACTTTCTGGCCACATCGCTCGGGAAACGATATACTACAAGATGGGGATACAATATGTTCAGGTCGGACGCGCGCCTCCAAGGAGGACATGTAGTATCAGTAACAGTATGTCTTGGTGCGCCCCATGAAACGACGGGGAGACTCCCATGACCCCGTCCTTCCAGGACCCAGTCCCAGGCATCCTCAAGTCTGAGTTTCCAAGCCGCGCCCCCAGCGCTCCCGTCCCCTTCCCCGTGGTCTCTCGTCTGGTTTTTCGTTGAGTGCCTGCCTTACCCTTCGAAAACTACATAGATCTACCCAAAAAGACCTCAACACATTGCTTACTTAGCAGGACTGTTTCACTCAAACGGTTCTTCCTTCCGGACCCATGGCTGATGGGCCCAACAGCGGCCCACGCAGGCCGAAATGCAGGACAAATCGCCGCGATGTAAAACGCCGGATCGTCGGAGGCTTGGTTTTCTCCTTCAAGGCTTGCTTGGGTTTTTCCTCCATGCCTCGTGGTGGTATCGAGGCCCTCCCTCCTCCCCAGACGGATTAGTTCAAAACCTCGGCCCCCCAGAAGTCTCGGGAAAAGGCTGGGGCTTCTCCCTCCTGTCTCATTGCTCGTGGTGAGATCGAGGCCCTCCCTCCTCCCCTGACCTCCGACGTTTTGATTTCCAAAGCCTGGACCTCCCAGAAGTCTCGATCCATTCCTCGGGACGGGCTTTTCATCCTGAGTCGTTTTTTGACGGTCCCGAGGCGAGGCGGCCTCCAGAGGCCGAAAATAGCGAAGAGCCTCCTGTCATGATTTTTTGATTGCCCGAGGGGGTCTGGGTCGAGCCCCCCCCCCCTCCGA